AATGTCTACCGATAGTATTAATGACGATTAGGATAACTCCAGATAAAGAAGGGTTATCCCCCTTTGAAAACGTTTTTGGGAGACCATATAGAATGACCGAGTTAGGCAGACTAGAACAGGCAGACATAGAAGTAGAAGACACGTTAGCAGAACACATGAGGAGGTTGTTTATTAACCACACCCGTATGTCAAAGGTTTTGTGCCCCACAGGTGAACTAAAGGAGAAGGTGACCCACTCTATCCAACCAGGTGACTGGTGTGGATCCAGTCCCTAAAGAAGAAAGACTGGAAGCAGCCCTGTTGGGAAGGGCCCTATCAGGTTATATTGGTCACCGCCTTTGCCATTAGAATAGCAGAAAGAGCAACCTGGGTCCACGTTACCCACTGCAATAAGGTAAGAACACATACAAGCACCACTGAACACACGCAGCGTTAGAGAGAAGAACTGAACCAATAGGGTCCGGGGATCACCTCTGATAACAAAGATCTCCTACCCCGACCTGTTTTACATTTGACATTTTAGTCATTTAGCAGACGCTCTTATCCAGAGCGACTTACAGTTAGTGAGTGCATACATTTTTCATACTGGCCCCCGTGGGAATCGAACCCACAATCCTGGCATTGCAAGCGCCATGCTCCTCCAACTGAGCTACATGAGGCCCCTATCATCACTGTAGTGTGTTCTTAGGGTGTGAGTATGGGGTGGTACCAAGCAGAAAGACTAAGGGCAGGAGAGGGTTGGCGGTTTTTGGGAATATGGGTAACCCTGAGCTGCATCATAGTCTCGGCAATGGTCCTGATATGTCAAGATCCACCACCACCCCGCACCAATTATGCTATGCCCTTACCATTGTTAAGAAGTAAAAGAGAAACGACCCGACATACCGACCGTCAAGGACAAGTGACCTACAAAATAGGAGTCAGAGAAGGGCAGACTGTAGGATTCAAAATAAGGGTTAGGGACATAGCCAACGGGTGGGGTACATGTCAACAAGCAACAGACTGGAACAATACCCCACCATATTTGTGTTCGGGCCCCACGGCGGATTGTTCCTGGACTCAAGTGTTTAAACACACTTGGGGACGGGATATGAGACCGGGCGGGACTGGACATCCCGATGGGGGGTAAAGAGAAACAAAGATATCATGAATGGTCAATTGGAAATAGTAGTAATAGTAATGTGACTGACTTAGGTTCGGAAGCACAGGAGAGAATTCTGAACCTTACAGCCCCTGTAACTGATGTGTGGTATGCGTGTACCAGTAAAGGCCGTATAAGGCAGACAAGGCCAAAAGGGTGGGTAGGTACCTGCGCCCCGGTTCTACTGGTTCAGCCAGTTAGAATTAGTGACTGGAAACCAAGGAAAGGGTTAAACAGACGTAGTAGGAGTTTTGACCAGAAGGAGAATAGCCTTATTTGGATGGATACAATTGGGATACCAAGGGGGTTACCGGATGAATACAAAGCTATGAATCAAGTAGGGGAAGGATTTACTACAACGTTCTTTTGGGTGGGTAACAATCAATAAAAATGTGGATTGGATTAATTATATATATTACAGCCAACAACGGTTTGTGAACCAGACTAGAGATGCAGTGAGGGGAATCTCAGATCAATTATCTGCCACCTCGCTCATGACTTGGCAAAATAGGTTGGCTCTAGATATGTTGCTGTCAGAAAAGGGTGGTGCAGAGCTCTTGCAGGATTGACTGCTCTAAGTGAAGAATGGGCTGAGAACTCAGGTGTTAATACATTTTTGATAGGGTGGTTTGATTAAATGTTTGGTAAATGGAAAACCATGGGTATGCTTATATTATGTGGTTGTTGTCTTATTTCCTGTGTCCGAGGGTTGGTGAGTAAGGCGTTGGAGAATGCAGTGTCTCAACAGATGATGAGATATGGACCGACTCCGGACTCTGACCAGTGGGGTGTGAAAAACGATCCTCCAGGCTTGGTGGATAATGAGGACTTTGACCCTGATAATCTGCAATTAGATAAAACTTGTATTGGTTCTGACGTGTGAAGGTCATAGGGAAAATCTCAGAGGACCTATGATTGGAAGTAGATAATAGAACTAATCTCTGAGGTTAATCATGCTTGTAAATACATTTATCCTGAGGGTGTAAACATTTAGTGAAAGGGTGGATTGATAGATTAATTTGTATGTTTATTTTAATGACTAAAGTGTTCCACCCCGATAGTGTATAAATGTGTAAACTGTGTTAGAGTTATAAGAAAATAGAACCACTAACAGGGAAGATGTTAGAAACTGCTGAAATATTCTATACTGTGGAAAGTTACAGGCCGCCAAAAGGTGGGCGGAGCAAAGTCCTTTGTGTGGACGCATATAAAATGGGCTGTGTGTGTTTTTGGCGCCAGAGCGCTCTCTGAAATAAAAATGGCTGATCCCTTGCAGACTGGAGAATTTGTTTAATTCATTATTAAACCAGAGCCTTACACCCTCTGGGAATTATTCAAAGCTTTAGTAACTATTAGAGATTCTCATGACAAACAGTAGCTAAGATGGGGAGAAGTATGTCCATAATAAAGCGCTGCTCTACCTTCTTAACAGCACTATCAACAAGGCAGGTCTTACAGTCCCTAGTTTTGTCACACCTGGACTACTGTCCAGGACCAAGTTTGGGAAACTCTGAGTTAGCAGACACTCTTAAGTGCATTTAACAATTGAAATAGACCCTTCTTCAAAACATATTTATCACATATGATATTACAGTACTATATGTCCATCTGCAGCCACTATCCACTGTGATGACTGGTGTGTGTGTAAAGGCAGACCTCTCACCGAGTGAACGGCCATAACCTTGCCTCTGGTAACTGATAGCAGGGTTAGAGAATAAAGTCCAGGCCAACACACACATTAATGAATACCAGTCCAAGCTCAATGCCCACAGCTATTTACTTGGCTGAATGCTGAATGTCTGTTAAATATATTATCCATTACAAGAACCAGGAGGAACTAGGATGAAAGATAACCAGGCAAGATGTTTCCTCACAGTGTTTCCACTACCAATCCAATCAGAACGAGAACTTGTTACATCTGTTATGTCTCAATGAAGGCTTAACCAGAGAAATATAGATCATTGGATGTGGGCCAAACCACTTAACCTCTATGGGATCGGTGTCCCGTATACGGGACGGTTGAGCTAACGTGCGCTAATGTGATTAGCATGACTCTTGTAAGTAACAGCACTCTTTCCAGGACATAGACATGTCTTATATGGGCAGAAAGCTTAAATTCTTGTTAATCTAACTGCACTGTCCAATTTACAGTAGCTATTACAGTGAAAAAATACCATGCTATTGTTTGAGGAGAGTGCACAACAACAAAAAACGTATCACAGCAACTGGTTTGATACATTCACCTCTGAAGGTAAATAATGTACTTACATTCAGTAATCTTGATCTGATTTGTCATCCTAAGGGTCCCAGAGATAAAATGTAGCATAGTTTTGTTTGATAAAATGTAGGAACTGGGTTCTACCCTGCTGTCACTGGCTCCACACCCACCCTGCCATCTAGATGTGTGAAAGTTAGTGTATAAGCTAATGATCCATAATGTATGACATTCCTGGGAGTGTGTATGTTCTCTATAGTTATGTACTTGAAAATATATCAATTGACCAATTCGGCACATTACGGCAGACTTGATACAAAATAGTCCAGTATTGCAATGCTTCACTGGATCAAGCTGAAACCTTGCACACACACTGCTGCCATCTAGTGGCAAAAATCTAAATTGCGCCTAAACTGCAATATTATATTGTGGCCTTTCTCTTGCATTTCAAAGATGATGGAACAAAAACATAAATAGAAAACGCATGTTTTTTTGGTTTGTATTATCTTTTACCAGATCTAATGTGTTATATTCTCCTACATTAATTTCATATTTCCACAAACTTCAAAGTGTTTCCTTTCAAATGGTATCAATAATTTGCATATCCTTGCTTCAGGTCCTGAGCTACAGGCAGTTAGATTTGGGTATGTCATTTTAGGCAAAAATTGAAAAAAAAAGGGGTTGATCCTTAAGAGGTTTAAACTCCAAAGATATAGATGCTACATAGACCCACCGCTGTCTGCCAATTTGTAAGACTAAAGACCCCTGGTTAAATACAATGGAATCTGAGCAATGTTAATGCACAATATTCAATGCAACACAACACTATGATAAATGCTGACCACGATGTTAAACTAATACACATTTACATTACATTTTAGTCATTTAGCAGACGCTCTTATCCAGAGCGACTTACATACATACATTCTTTTTTCTTTTCTTTTTTATATACCACAGGGGGTTGTGATTACACAGTAGAACGGATCAATAAATTATCCAGCTAACATGCCTAAATTCTGAAATAACTTTAATTTTTTAGAAAGATAAGCTTGAAATGGGCATCTAATTGACTCAACAACCAAAAACATATGTAGACAAAAGAAGGAAGGGAAACCATGCTAGGTCTTTGTAGATAGAAGTTGTAAATTGGTCATAAATTGGGATAAATTGGTCATCAAAAAGAATGGAGGACCAATGCACTCTTCATATAATTAAAATGCCTTTTTTTGTTTGGCATGTTCAACGGAACAAAGATTTTTTAAACTCTGACCTGTTTCGGCAGCATGGCCTTCGTCAGGGAGTACAAAGACACATATCTAAGTTAAGCTTTCTTAATTAACCAGAACATTAGTGGTTATTTCTGCTTGTTTATCAAAGTTAGCTGGCTCATTGATCCTGCTTTGTAGTATACCCCTCAGGTGTTTACTGTGGTGCTGCTAGTATACAAAACAACAGAGTGATCGTTGGAAAGAGGCTTTTAAAACTGACAACGTGAATAATTCAGAAGTACATTCACTGGTGGCCATCTTGGAAGGGGGAAAGATGGAGGGATAGGTAAGCAGCTGAGAGGTATACTGTGTAATACTGATTAAAAGGACCTGGCCTGAGAGAAGCAGAGATGGATGAATGGTCTGGGGGTAGGTCTCACACACACACACACACACACACACACACACACACACACACTACCCAACCCCCCCACTCCTCCCTACCTGCAGCGATAGCCCCTATAAGCGGCTGTATGGTGACGGCCCAGGGGTAGTTCCATGCTCCTATGATGAGCACCACTCCCAGTGGTTCAGGCTGGATGTAGACAGTGTCTGAGATGGTCAGGAGGTTCTTCTCAACAGGCCGGGGAGCAACCCACTCCGCCAGCTTCTTCACTGCCAGGATAATCTCCCCTTCCAGGCCCAGTGTCTCATACAGCTGGGTGCCTGCCTCACTCTGGATGAATGGAGGATAGAAGATGGATATGGAGAAAGATGAGGATAGATACATGCATACAGACACACTTGTGCGTGTACAAACATACACTGCACAGTCATAAACACACACATACATTTCTGCACATACTCGCACGCACACACACACACACACACACACACACACACACACACACACACACACACACACACACACACACACACACACACACACACACACACACACACTCCTCTCTCACTCACGCTCTGTCTGTCTGTCTGTTTGTCTCTCTACCTTGTTCAGGTCTTTCTTGATGGCCTCAGCTATCTCCTTCTCTCTCTCCAAGAGGAATCTCTGGAGGTTCTTCAGCTGGCGGATCCGGTGTTCTAAGGGCTTCGACCTCCCGGTGAGGAAAGCTTTCCTGGCACGATCCACTGCCTTCTGCTCACGGGACATTCTACAAGAGGTGATGGATGGGTGGATGTTACAAACACGCCCCCCAAAATAACATAAATGTTTATATTGTAAACGAATGGCACTATTCACAACTATTTTATCTTTTATACTCCTGAGTCATCATGTGTTGATGACAGCACAGTTGTGTATAAGGGAGGGATAATTTCATTCTATCGGCTATAGCATTAGATAGTCAACATGCTGATATGAGTAGCCTAACTCTGTTCAGCCTGGCCTCGAAGACGTAACATAGTAAATGTAAGTCTGGGACACTCAAATTAGTCAATATGTTACGTACAGTATGGTATGGTTACTTAAGCCAAAAACGAAAGGAGGGGAGCTTGGTCAGGGAGGATGGGTAGGCGTATAACGCAAACTTCTAGCAGCCCAAAGGTTGTGCGTTTGAATCACATCTTGGACCACTTTAGCATTTTAGCTAAATAGCAACTTTGCAGCTACTTATTACTTTTTAGCAACTCCTTAGCATGTTAGCTAACCCCTCCCCTAACCCCTAATCTTAACCCTACTTTGAGATTTTGGGGGATTTTTTGGGTAAAAAGTATGTGATAAGTGCCGGGGAGTGTTACCGCTACACCAAGGCTCTGCACAGGAAATACTCATATTAATAGTTGGTGGCAGTGGATAACCAAATCATACTCTCCTTGTCCATAGACTGCTTTTATGGTAAGGACACAAACATTTTGTATTTTGTAATTTGAGTGAACTCTCTCTTTAAAATAGGGCTGGAAAAAAATCCGGCTTGCTCTCCAGGAGGGTTGGCCACCCCTAATCTATGTTTCCCAAGTACTATGTGTTTGAAAATGTTCTTGTTATAACAATTAATTGATCAGAATCACCCAATCTTCAAGAGAAATCTAATGAATATCAATATTCAGGTGGTTTATGCCTACTAGCTGAAGATCCCTACCATCATCTAAATAAACAAAATATGATGTCTGGTCAGTCCCCCTACCATCTTTGCCTAGCATGTGCACAATACTAAAATGTCAAAAATTATATTTGATTCCTGGAGCATTTCATATCTAATGCTTGACCGTATGTATGACTTATTCAACACTGTCCATAATTGGCTGCAAAGATACATAGCCACATTTACAGTGCCTTCAGAAAGTATTCAGACCCCTTGACTTTTTCCACATTTTGTTACGTTACAGCCTTAATTCTAAAATTGATGAAATACATTTTTTTCCTAATCAATCTACACATAATTCCCCATAATGACCAAGCGAAAAGTTTTTTTTGCTAATTTATTACAAATAAAAAACAGAAATACTTTATTTACATAAGTATTCAGACCCTTTGCTATGAGACTCGAAATTGAGATCAGGTGCATCCTGTTTCCATTGATCATCATTGAGATGTTTCTACAACTTGATTGGAGTCCACCTGCAGTAAATTCAATTGATTTGATATGATTTGGAAAGGCACACACCTGTCTATATAAGTTCCCACAGTTGACAGTGCATGTCAGAGCAAAAACCAAGCCATGAGGTCAAAGGAATTGTCTGTAGAGCTCCGAGACAGAATTGTGTCGAGGCACAGATCTGGGGAAGGGTACAAAAAACAATTCTGCAGCATTGAAGGTCCCAAATGGCCTCCATCATTCTTAAATGGAAGAAGTATGGAATCACCAAGACTCTTCCTAGAGCTGGCCTCCCGGCCAAACTGAGCAATCGGGGGAGAAGGGCCTTGGTCAGGGAGGTGACCAAGAACCTGATGGTCACTCTGATAGAGTTCCTCTGTGGAGATGGGAGAACTTTCCAGAAGGACAACCATCTCTGCAGCACTCCACCAATCAGGCCTTTATGGTAGAGTGGCCAGACGGAAGCCACTCCTCAGTAAAAGGCACATGACAGCCCACTTGGAGTTTCCCAAAAGGCACCTAAAGACTCAGACCATGAGAAACAAGATTCTGTGGTCTGATGAAACCAAGATTGAACTCTTTGGCCTGAATGCCAAACGTCACGTCTGGAGAAAACCTGGCACCATCCCTACTGTGAAGCATGGTGGTGGCAGCATCATGCTGTGGGGATGTTTTTCAGCGGCAGGGACTGGGACAATAGTCAGGATTGAGGGAAAGATGAACGGAGCAAAGTACAGAGAGATCCTTGATGAAAACCTGTTCCAGAGCACTCAAGACCTCAGACTGGGGCGAAGGTTCACCTTCCAACAGGACAATGACCCTAAGCACACAGCCAAGACAATGCAGGAGTGGCTTCGGGACAAGTCTCTGAATGTTGGGTACAAAAAAAATTCTGCAGCATTGAAGGTCCCAAATGGCCTCCATCATTCTTAAATGGAAGAAGTATGGAATCACCAAGACTCTTCCTAGAGCTGGCCTCCCGGCCAAACTGAGCAATCGGGGGAGAAGGGCCTTGGTCAGGGAGGTGACCAAGAACCCGATGGTCACTCTGATAGAGTTCCTCTGTGGAGATGGGAGAACTTTCCAGAAGGACAACCATCTCTGCAGCACTCCACCAATCAGGCCTTTATGGTAGAGTGGCCAGACGGAAGCCACTCCTCAGTAAAAGGCACATGAAAGCCCACTTGGAGTTTCCCAAAAGGCACCTAAAGACTCAGACCATGAGAAACAAGATTATGTGGTCTGATGAAACCAAGATTGAACTCTTTGGCCTGAATGCCAAACGTCACGTCTGGAGAAAACCTGGCACCATCCCTACTGTGAAGCATGGTGGTGGCAGCATCATGCTGTGGGGATGTTTTTCAGCGGCAGGGACTGGGACAATAGTCAGGATTGAGGGAAAGATGAACGGAGCAAAGTACAGAGAGATCCTTGATGAAAACCTGTTCCAGAGCACTCAAGACCTCAGACTGGGGCGAAGGTTCACCTTCCAACAGGACAATGACCTTGGCACACAGCCAAGACAATGCAGGAGTGGCTTCGGGACAAGTCTCTGAATGTTGTTTTTTAATCAATTTTAGAATAAGGCTGTAACGTAACAGAATGTGGAAAAAGTAAAGGGGTCTGAATACTTTCCGAATGCACTGTAATTAATTTTCTAAGACAAAAGTAGGCATATCAGAGTTATTGCTGACAAGCACACTAATTACCCTATATTTTAGCCCATTGTTAAGAATGAGAATTGTTCCAATAATAAATAGTAAAATCTCCTGAAGACATAATGCCATTAATCTGCCCCCACACCCTAACCAAATAATTGTTATACCTATTGTCCCACCCCTTTTTGGTTAGCAATCTGTTAGACAAAATCAGGTCACCCTACCAAACGTCGTTGCTGAAACATACTGTAGGTCTCTGTCTGCTGCCTTTTCATTGTCACAGCCTAAATGCAAATCACCAAACGAGGGGACTAATGCAAGTGTGGATTAAATCGATTTCGTTCTTTCTTTCCATTCAACGCCACTCTAATCTTGAGGGGCGTTTCTTTAAAACATGCACCCAATCCCCTTGATACCTTACATAACTAGACCAATCATATGCTTCAATGTGCCGCGGTTCACAGTGCTGTGGCAGGACAGGACATTGATAAAGGTTCATCTCATGATGTTCAATTGCAGACGCAGATGCTCCTATTTCAAAGCTCCGCTCATTCATTTAGCCAGGATAGTCCACTCAGTAACAATTGCCACTGTTTTCCAGGGAGTCCTGGGTTCCATAGAATCGATTTGGAGCACAGTTGAAAAGTTAATGCGCTGACTAATTAGAAAATAATAGCAGTACTTTTCAATGCGTCAGATATACTGTAAGAGGTGTGCCAATGCGTGAGAGTTGGCAGCTCTGCCCTAACCCCTAGTCACCAAGCTAACGTTAGCCACAACAAATTGGAATTCATAACATATCATACGTTTGCAAATCAAATTCGTAACATATTATAACATATTTGTAACATATCATACGAAATGGATTCTGGACATCCACAAATTACTAGGTTGCTCTGTTTGCCTTGGGCAACCGACTATGCCTGCTTTGGTGTTATCAGCAATAACAGCTATGATGAAATGCTGTCAAAAGGCTAAAACAAGACTAGACAAAGCAAATGACTTGTATTATCCCATTATAACTGCGTAACTACCGGTGAAATAAAGAACAGCGCATTGTAGGCTACACAGATTGGTTAGAATTAATATTGTACCAACGCTGGCTCCATGCGAGATCAAATCATATAATCATTCTGAGCCGTTACATGATAACGTTGAGCTCGAGTTATAGCTCTTCATTATGGCTAAAAATTATCCGTTTTAGAGAAGGTGTTGTTCTTGATTCTATTCTGCTGAGTCAACATGTAGAAAAGGCTTAAACACAACCTTTAACACAGTACCGGTTTGCAGCAGGGCATTCTGTAACATTTCTTATCACTAATTTAATTTGTAACTCGCAAACACAACTTTAACTCTTACCTGACCGGCTGTTATTCCAAATCTCACTCAGATTATTCGCAAATTGCTATGTGGCAGAATTAACGACGTTAGAAATGATCCGCGAGCTCAGTCCAAACCACTATTGAGTAAACATGAAAGACGGATCTCCGTTAACGTTATATAGCAGCCAGAGAAAGATGCCTGAGCGGAGTACCTACTTCCGTTTTACAGAGGGAAAAACGGAAGTTAGGTTGAAAATACTGTATCCCTGAAAACCATAAACATATCTTTTTCCACGGCTGCTAAGGGTGGATTTCCGGTAATGCTGCCCATCTGCTATTGGTGGAGGCGGGCCATATCTGGTACGCTGGTTAGTTTGCCTGTCCCTCAAGCGTCAGAAATCCATGCACAATGACGTTATAATCATGTTTATCTACATGGTTATTACCTGGCCGTGATGCATCATCCTTTACTATACCCTTTTCTTATGATATTGTTTTGTTTACCCAACTTTTTGCACTGCAGAATGGTAGGCCTATCGCGAAAAGAATAATAAAGCACACAATGCTTCTATAGTTTAATGATTACTAAAGATATAGGCCCACAAGTTCTTATTTTGTTGAAGAATTTAAGAACAAAAAAAACAATGCTTTAGTAGCTGAGTGACATGTTATTATCATGTTACAATAAATTGGCAAGTTGCCAACTGCCAAAATCATGTTGAATGTGGCTGCCACAACTCCATGCTTTGTGCAATACAATGTGATGTGTCAATTGTCCTTTGCATGCACTATTCCATGCAACACTGTAGGCTTAGCTCCTTATGACCAGGATTGGTGCCTACTGCATTAGAAAAAGGCCCTGTGTAGCTCAGTTGGTAGAGCATGACGCTTGTAACGCCAGGGTTGTGGGTTCGTTTCCAACGGGGGGCCAGTATGAAAATGTATGCACTCACTACCTGTAAGTCGCTCTGGATAAGAGCGTCTGCTAAATGACTAAAATGTTTTTAAAAAAAACGGTATATCTCAGACCCAAATGAATGGGAATGGAAAGCACCATCTATTTAGAGATCCAAGGGTTTGGGCCAAGGCGCAAGTATGACAGAAATATTACAAAAATCCATGAACCATGATTGAGCTGATAAAAACCACATTCATTTCACATTTATCTTTAATCTTCAGAAATATGCCAGCCCTCTTCTTGGCCTATATCACATCACAGAGAACCACAGTCCCAAACACGAGAGTTAGGTCAAATTCCAAGTCTTTCCCCGTAGCCATCCCTCATTCTATGAGTAGCCCATGTTTCAGCCACAGAAAAATAACTGACATATTTAGAAGGATCTGCATGCTTGCAATAGGTGACCATCAGATTCTCGTTTCACATTCAATTTAAAATAAAGCACTTGTTAGACTGATCTTAATGTTGCTAATGTAGTTTTACTGTAATTTCTTGTGATTTCACTTTTCAAGAAAAACTTGCTCTTATAATTGAAAAAATAAGAAAAATCTTCTTCCCCCTGCGCTCCTGAGGGGTACATTTCCATTATGGTAGGCCTACTTTGGGCCTGACCCAGGTGGGAATCATGAAACATCACCCTTTTGTGTTTCAGTCAAACTTGATATCTATTTATTTAAACAATTTTATGGTTTTATATTCAGAGAGACAATGCCAAGAGTGTGCAAAGCTGTCATCAAGGCAAAGGGTGGCTATTTGAAGAATCTTAAAATATAAAATATATTTTGATTTGTGTCACACTTTTTTGGTTACTACATGATTCCATATGTGTTCTTTTATAGTTTTGATGTCTTCACTATTATTCTACAATGTAGAAAATTGTAAAAAACTTTTGACCGGTAGTGTACGTAAAGAGCATACAGTAAATTTTTGCTATTCAAGCTCAAACCAAGTCCATTCATATTTGGGTCATCCCCTAGGCATTCTGCAGTATTTCTCCAATGACATGCCGGGTCTCTGCCTTTCATCTGTAGCCATGTTGGGATGGATCACACTCAGGCTCTGGATCTCAGGCTCTCAGGGCTGCTAGGAGCCCTCTGAAGCCTTGGGAGCAGGCCAGGACTCACCCCCTCAACACAAACACACACACACACAAGAATTAGGCCTCCAAATCTCTCAGGATAACAGGAAATATGGATGGAGTTTCCACATCAAACGCAGAGGAGAGGAGGGGTGTTTGTGTATTGTGGGAGGGGGGGAAAGGGAAGGAGGAGAAGAGGAGGGGGAACATCAATCACACCTGAGGATCCACTTTCACTGCTGACACACACACACACTGAGTCAATGACAAACACTGGTGGTTTTGTTGTGTAATGTTTGAGATGGGTCAACTCATTGCTCTCTCTATTCCATCTGAAAGCAAAAAAAAAAAATCATCAGGAATGTCATGAATAAAACCCCCATTAGTTCTATGCCAACTATTATTAAACAGTGGACCTTTCATTTAGAAGTGAATCTCTGATTTTCTCCCTCAAAATAGCCTTATATTCTCAACATAAGGCTCTGGCTCTGCACTCTTCTACTTCAGCTTTAGTCAAATGTGACCGACTGGGTTCCAACCGGGTTTCCTGTATGCAACAAGGTTGTGTTAGCCTGCTGAGCTAAAGCCTAGTGTTCGGGTCTCAGACAAGGTTCAGCAAACTACAATCGATACACAAACATAGAGACAAACCCACAACATTCAATGACAAATTAACTCATTTACTGCAGTGTGTTTGGTAAATACTTGTGCCATTGTGTTTAAGTGTTTTCAACTTGTTGCTGTCTGTTTGTTAGTAGGTTTGTTTTCATTAGCTGTGTTTGCACACCAGTGATTGTTATTGGACTTTGGGTCTTGGCTTGTGAGGAAATGTGTGTGTGTGTGTGTGTGTGTGTGTCTGGGTTGGTTCTTCTATCTTTCTGGGGATCTAAAATCCCCAAAAGATTTTGGTAATGGTTAGGGTCAGGGTTGGATTTAGGGTTAGGGAAAATAGGATTTTGAATGAAAATTAATTTTAGGTCCCCACGAGGATAGAAGAACACAACGTGTGTGTGTATGTGCGTATGCGTCTGATTCCATCTAGTGGCCAAACCCTGGCTAAACCATTTACCTTGCTCTGTGCTGGGGCCATGAGAGCACAGATGGAATTAAAGTTATATAAGGCTGTTGTGAATCTATGAAGGAGCTTTAAAGGGGCAATCTGCTGTTCAAACAATAACAAAACATCAATCTGCTGCTGTTTGGTAAACAGCTGAGGGACGAGGCTGGAAAAATGGTATAACTCTCAAATTCATATACAGAATGATGCAAGGACTGACCCATTCATGATATCAATATTATAGTTTTAAAAATGTTTTGCGGCAACACAGTGTTTGTTTACAATGGCATTGTTTACAAACATGCTTATATTTTGGGTTCTGATCAGTTACTATGCTCACAAGGCATTTATACGTTTTATTCTTCAAGAATCAGTGGGTAGGCTATATATAATTAATTTTCAACTCCAAAAATGGATGTAGCAATCACAGATTGCCCTTTTACATAAAAAATAATATGAATTTATTCAACCTTTATTTTACCAGGCAGGTCAAAAAAGAACAAATTCTTATTTAGAATGATGACCTGGGAAGTGAGATGCAGTAGGCTCCTATTCAACAAAAGAACTTGCTCTATCTCTAATGTTGTCTAATAAGAAATGTAATGCTATGTTATTAAAAGTGCCAGTTGAGACATTCCAAACCCTTGTAGACAGTAAACCTTATGATAAATCGAGAGCTTGGGACAAAATTGAGTTAATGCCATAGCCTTGTTTTGTTCAATATTCTCTATCTATATAGTACTCTAAATACCCAAGTTCATGTTCTTTAATTCAAAAGAATACAAGATAACAATTGCTGACACCATTCAAACTAATGAGGGTTCGGAACATTAAAGCCAATTATCTCAGAATCATATTTTTGCAGATAGAACCTTATAGTGCCAAACTTTCGAGATGTGTGTTTGTCTAAAACCCCATTTAAGGTCCGTGTTTGAAATAAGAACATTATTTTATTATTCTATTAGATGGCACAGTGGCTAAAATATGCACAAATAAGCCTGACATTCATACCAAACCACTAGGCCAAAAATTGCATAGATCTATGATCCATTGAAATGTAGGCATATTCAAATCAAATCAAATCAAATTTTATTGGCAACATGCGCCGAATACAACAGGTGCAGACATTACAGTGAAATGCTTACTTACAGCCCTTAACCAACAGTGCATTTATTTTTAATAAAAAAAGTAAAATAAAACAACAGCAAAAAAGTGTTGAGAAAAAAAGAGCAGAAGTCAAATAAAATAACAGTAGGGAGGCTATATATACAGGGGGGTACCGGTGCAGAGTTAATGTGCTGGGGCACCGGCTAGTTGAGGTAGTTGAAGTAATATGTACATGTGGGTAGAGTTAAAGTGACTATGCATAAATAATAAACATAGTAGCAGCAGCGTAAAAAGATGGGGTGGGGGGTGGGGGGCAGTGCAAATAGTCCGGGTAGCCATGATTAGCTGTTCAGGAGTCTTATGGCTTGGGGGTAGAAGCTGTTGAGAAGTCTTTTGGACCTAGACTTGGCACTCCGGTACCGCTTGCCGTGCGGAAGCAGAGAGAACAGTCTATGACTAGGGTGACTGGAGTCTTTGACAATTTTGAGGGCCTTCCTCTGACACCGCCTGGTATAGAGATGCTGGATGGCAGGAAGCTTGGCCCCAGTGATGTACTGGGCCGTACGCACTACCCTCTGTAGTGGCTTGCGGTCGGAGGCCAAGCAGTTGCCATACCAGGCGGTGATGCAACCAGTCAGGATGCTCTCGATGGTGCAGCTGTATAATTTTTTGAGGATCTGAGGACCCATGCCAAATCTTTTCAGTCTCCTGAGGGGGAATAGGCTTTGTTGTGCCCTCTTCACGACTGTCTTGGTGTGTTTGGACCATGATAGTTCGTTGGTGATGTGGACACCAAGGAACTTGAAGCTCTCAACCTGTTCCACTACAGCCCCGTCGATGAGAATGGGGGCGTGCTCAGTCCTCTTTTTTTTTCCTGTAGTCCACAATCATCTCCTTTGTCTTGATCACGTTGAGGGAGAAGTTGTTATCCTGGCACCACACGGCCAGGTCTCATCGTTGTCGGTGATCAGGCCTACCACTGTTGTGTCGTCGGCAAACTTAATGATGGCGTTGGAGTCGTGCCTGGCCATGCAGTCATGGGTGAACAGGGAGTACAGGAGGGGACTGAGCACGCACCCCTGTGGGGCCCCTGTGTTGTGGATCAGTGTGGCAGATGTGTTGTTACCTACCCTTACCACCTGGGGGCGGCTCGTCAGGAAGTCCAGGATCCAGTTGCAGAGGGAGGTGTTTAGTCCCAGGATCCTTAGCTTAGTGATGAGCTTTGAGGGCACTATGGTGTTGAATGCTGAGCTGTAGTCAATTAATAGCATTCTCACGTAGGTGTTCCTCTTGTCCAGGTGGGAAAGGGCAGTGTGGAGTGCAATAGAGATTGCATCATCTGTGGATCTGTTGGGGCGGTATGCAAATTGGAGTGGGTCTAGGGTTTCTGGGATAATAGTGTTGATGTGAGCCATGACCAGCCTTTCAAAGCACTTCATGGCTACAGACGTCAGTGCTACGGGTCGGTAGTCATTTAGGCAATTACATAATCGGATTGTCACAATTTTCCCACCAGCTTTTAACAATAAACTGTGGGGTTTGTAACTATAGCTCATAGCTAGTCCAATAGCCAGAGGTAGACAGGTGTCACTCATTTGAAATTGGAGATGTGGATTTCAAGACCGGTATAGTATATTCTCAGTGATATAATTATGTAAGGGATAATCAACGAGGGGCTATGCGTTCTCTGGAGAATAATGAATGATGTGGAAGGTGTGTTCCACCACGTACTAGCGAAGTGGAACTAACCTTCCACTGAGTTATAATTGTAATGGCTTAGCAGATAATAACAAAAGAAGAACAATATTTACATGGTTCAAAGAGAAGGAATATGATATCTATTGTTTACAGGAAACTCATTCTACAATTCTAGATGAAGTTGTGTGGAAAAAGGACTGGGGGGGGAATATACTTCTCCCATGGGCAAAGAAACTCAAAAGGGGTGATGATATTAATTAACAGTAATTTCGATCCAAATGTGCAAATTGTCCAAACAGATCCGCAAGGTAGATGGATGATTTTAAACATGTTATTGGACCATAAACAGATATGGCTCATTAACCTTTACAGACCAAATAATGATGATCCACACTTCTTTGACAATATATATAATCAATTATCAACCCTGCAAGCAATACAATACTCTATTATTATGGTGGGAGATTATAATACTGTTTTAAATAGCTCAATGGACCGTAAAGAAAATCACACTACAAACTATCACCCTCATGCTCTTAAGGAAATCATGAATGTCATGGATACATTAGAATTAGTAGATATATGGATACTTAAATGTCCTGATCTAGTGAGATATACATGGCGGAGACTCAATCAAGCTAGTTGTCTTGACTTCTTTCTTATGTCATTCTCGTTGGCACCAAAAGTTTAAAAAGTGTTGACAGGGGACAGAATGTGGTCGGACCATCATATAATTGGCATATACATTACTCTTACTGAATTTCCACGTGGGCGAGGACATTGGAAATGTAATCAAAGCCTATTGGATGATAACTTGTTTCGTAACTAGGACAGAGGAATTTATAACTGCATTTTTTTGACATAACATAGGTACAGCAAATCCCCTTATTGTATGGGACACTTTCAAATGTGCCTTTAGAGGCCATGCAATTCAGTACTCATCTTGAAAACAAAAGCAATTTTGGTCAAAAGAGTCCATACTAACAAAATAAATAGAAGGTCTAACAGAACAGATAGATAGCAATAAAAACTGTAACATAGAGGCTCAGAATAAATGAGAGGAAAAACAAAAAGGAATGGAGAAACTTATTCAAGAAAGATCAAGTGTAATATATTATAAAAATAAAGCAAACTGGATGGAATATGGGGAAAAATGCACCAGATTCTTTTTTCATTTTCAACATAGAAATGCTACCAAAAAGAAGTTACTGAAACTGGTTACAAATCATGGAGTCACCCATGATTCACCAAAATATATTTTGAAGGAGGAAGCAAAGTACTTTAAGCATATGTTTTCGTTTCAGTCGCCTCCATCTCCTCTAACTGAAGCCATTTGAAGGGATTTTTTTTCTTCTATTGATAATGTAAAATTAACAGCCATACAGAAAGACTAATGTGAAGGTGAAATTACAGAGGAGGAACTTCTGGATGCAATTAAAGACTTTAAGTCCGGGAAAACTCCAGGGTTGGATGGCATACCAGACAAGGTATACCAAACCTTTTTTGATATACTCAAAGGACCGTTATTAGCATGTTTTAACCACTCCTATGTAAATGGTAGATTATCAGACACTCAAGAAGAAGGTCTGATTTCATTATTACTGAAACAGGATACAAGTGGGAAATATAAAGATCCAGTCCATAAAAAAAATGTTAGTGTTGTGATGCAAAAATTCTAGCAAAATGTATAGCGCATAGAATTAAAAAGGTATTGTCGCACATTATTCATTCTAATCAGACAGGTTTTTTACATGGACGATACATTGGATATAATATAAGGCAAGTACTGGAAACAATAGAAAGCTTTGAAAAATCTGGGTAAGGCCTAGTATTCATAGCAGACTTTGAAAAGGCATCTGATAAAGTACGATTGGAGTTTATATATAAATGCCTGAAACATTTCAATTTTGGAGAATCTCTTATAAAATGGGTTAAAATCATGTATAGTAAACCTAGGTGTAAAATAGTAAATAATGGCTATTTCTCAGAAAGTTTTAAACTGTCAAGAGGAGTAAAACAAGGTTGTTCACTAACGGCATATCTATTTATTATGGCCATCGAAATGTTAGCTATTAAAATCAGATCCAACAACAATATCAAGGGATTAGAAATCCAGGGCTTAAAAACAAAGGTACGCTGATGATTCATGTTTTCTTTTAAATCTACAACTTGAATCCCTCCACAGCCTCATAGAGGATCTAGATACATTTTCTAACCTCTCTGGATTACAACCAAATTATGATAAATGAACTATATTACGTATTGGATCACTAAAAAATACAATTTTTACATTGCCATGTAGTTTACCAATAAAATGGTCTGATGGCGATGTGGATATACTCAGAATACATACCCAAATGAAATAAATGATCTCACTCCAATACATTTTAATAGAAAGTTAGCAAAAATAGATAAGATCTTGCTACCATGGAAAGGTAAATACCTGTCTATTTGTGGAAAAATCACCCTGATTAACTCTTTAGTATTATCCCAGTTTACCTGTTTGCTTATGGTCTTGCCTATGCCTAGCGAACAGTTTTTTTTATTATATGAGAAAATAATATTCCATTTTATTTGGAACGGCAAGCCAGACAAAATTAAACAGGCCTATTTTTACATTTTAATAATTTAACAGACGCTCTTATCCAGAGCGACTTACAGTTAGTGAGTGCGTACATTTTCATACTGGTTCCCTGTGGGAATCAAACCTACAACCCTGGCATTGCAAGCGCCATGCTCGACCAACTGAGCTACATGGGACTATTTATATAATGAATATGAATTCGGAGGACAGAAATTATTAAATATTAAAGCATTAGACCTATCACTAAAAGCTTCAGTCATACAAAAGTTATACTTAAATCCTAACTGGTTCTCTAGCAAATTAGTAAAATTGTCTCACCCCATGTTCAAAAATTGCCTTTTTCCCTTTACTCAGATTACAACCTCTCACTTTCAGTTATTTGAAAAGGAAATCATCTCCCAAATATCACTATTTCTGAAACAAGCCATATAAAGTTGGTTGCAATTTCAATTTAATACTCCAGAAACGACAGAACAAATAATGCAACAAATATTGTGGTTAAACTCAAATATATAATTGATAAAAAGCCAGTATCTTTTGAAAAAATGTTCTTAAAAGGTATAATCTTGTAAATTATATCATAGGTAGGACTGGTGGAGTTATGTCGTACATGCATCAAACAAAAAACATATAAAAATGTCTGCTCTACCAAAAATTACAACCAAATAATTGCAGCATTACCGCAAAAATGGAAGAGGAAAGTGGAAGGGGGAAAAGGTAAGGAACTTGTCTGTCGGCCCTGCATTAAAGAACATTGGTTAATGAAAATTGTGATAAAAAAAAAAGTATACCAGTTTCATTTAAGGACCAAAGGATTGACAGCCGTCTCATATAGATTTCAAAATAGTTGGGAAGAGATTTTTGACGCACAGATTCCATGGCATAGTGTTTATGAACTGATACGCAAAACGATGCCGGATTCAAAACTTAGAATTGTTCAATTTAAAGTATTTATACAAAATTCTTCCTACCAATAGAATGTTATTTATATAGGGGATACAATCTTTCCAGCTCTGCAGATTTTGCTGCGAAGAGACAGAATCATTAGATCACTTGTTTTTGTACTGTCCATTTGTGGCTTGTTTTTGGTCACACGTCCAGGAATGGCTGAAGGATTGCAATATTTACCTGGAGCTAACCCTGCAAATAGCACTACTGGGTGATCTGAAAAGTCATAGTCAATCGATCAATAATATAATAATATTAAAATGTTTATTTTCAATTTACAATCTGTAGAAACAATGAGAATAGAAGGGTTCAGAACCTTTGTGAAACATCACAGTACAGTTGAAAAACATATGGCAAATAGAAATCCAATATGGATGGTGTTAAAAGATAGATGGGAGGTGTTGAATGGAGCTGAAGGATGGGACTAATAACAACTAACAACAACTAATATCAGCAAGATAACTAATGTAGGGCATGCTGTGTCCATAATAAGTATATCGGTTATAGGTTGAGAGCTTTTGTGAAGGAGCACAGTTGGAGAGATACGGCGTATAGAAGCAAACCAGATGGACATCATGAAAATGATCGGAGAGGTTGAGGGTAGAGGAAGTTCAGAAGTAAAAACAAACAAAATAGAATTATTGTAAAATGGACTGTGTCCATAAAATGTATATAGTATGTATGAGCTGGAAGTAGAGGCCTAAGTGTTGTTGTTTACTACAATTAGGGAAGGGGTGGTGGGGTTGGAAAGTTTAAAAAAAATCAAGAATAACACATGTCAAAAATGTTATCAATTGATTTACATTTTAATGAGGGAAATAAGTATTTGACCCCTCTGCAAAACATGACTTAGTACTTGGTGGCAAAACCCTTGTTGGCAATCACAGAGGTCAGACATTTCTTGTAGTTGGCCACCAGGTTTGCACACATCTCAGGAGGGATTTTGTCCCACTCCTCTTTGCAGATCTTCTCCAAGTCATTAAGGTTTCGAGGCTGACGTTTGGCAACTCGAACCTTCAGCTCCCTCCACAGATTTTCTATGGGATTAAGGTCTGGAGACTGGGTAGGCCACTCCAGGACCTTAATGTGCTTCTTCTTGAGCCACTCCTTTGTTGCCTTAGCCGTGTGTTTTGGGTCATTGTCATGCTGGAATACCCATCCACGACCCATTTTCAATGCCCTGGCTGAGGGAAGGAGGTTCTCACCCAAGATTTGACGGTACATGGCCCAGTCCATCGTCATTTTGATGCGGTGAAGTTGTCCTGTCCCCTTAGCAGAAAAACACCCCCAAAGCATAATGTTTCCACCTCCATGTTTGACGGTGGGGATGGTGTTCTTGGGGTCATAGGAAGCATTCCTCCTCCTCCAAACACAGCGAGTTGAGTTGATGCCAAAGAGCTCCATTTTGGTCTCTTATGACCACAACACTTTGACCCAGTTCTCCTCTGAATCATTCAGATGTTCATTGGCAAACTTCAGACGGGCATGTATATGCGCTTTCTTGAGCAGGGGGACCTTGCAGGCGCTGCAGGATTTCAGTCCTTCACGGCGTAGTGTGTTACCAATTGTTTTCTTGGTGAATATGGTCCCAGCTGCCTTGAGATCATTGACAAGATCCTCCCGTGTAGTTCTGGGCTGATTCCTCACCGTTCTCATGATCATTGCAACTCCACGAGGTGAGATCTTGCATGGAGCACCAGGCCGAGGGAGATTGACAGTTCTTTTGTGTTTCTTCCATTTAAGAATAATCGCACCAACTGTTGTCACCTTCTCACCAAGCTGCTTGGCGATGGTCTTGTAGCCCATTCCAGCCTTGTGTAGGTCTACAATCTTGTCCCTGACATCCTTGGAGAGTTCTTTGGTCTCGGCCATGGTGGAGTGTTTGGAATCTGATTGATTGATTGCTTCTGTGGACAGGTGTCTTTTATACAGGTAACAAGCTGAGATTAGGAGCACTCCCTTTAAGAGTGTGCTCCTAATCTCAGCTCGTTACCTGTATAAAAGACACCTCGGAGCCAGAAATCCTTCTGATTGAGAGGGGGTAAAATACTTATTTCCCTAATTAAAATGCAAATCAATTTATAAAATTTTTGACATGCGTTTTTCTGGATTTTGTTGTTGTTATTCTATCTCTCACTGTTCAAATAAACCTGCCATTAAAATTATAGACTGATCATTTCTTTGTCAGTGGGCAAACGTACAAAATCAGCAGGGGATCAAATACCTTTTTCCCTCACTATATGTACAGTGGGGAGAACAAGTATTTGATACACTGCCTATTTTGCAGGTTTTCCGACTTACAAAGCATGTAGAGGTCTGTAATTTTTATCATAAGTACACTTCAACTGTGAGAGACGGAATCTAAAACATAAATCCAGAAAATCACATTGTATGATTTTTAAGTAAATAATTTGCATTTTATTGCATGACATAAGTATTTGATCACCTACCAACCAGTAAGAATTCCGGCTCTCACAGACTGTTTTTCTTTAAGAAGCCCTCCTGTTCTCCACTCATTACCTGTATCAACTGCACCTGTTTGAACTCGTTACCGGTATAAAAGACACCTGTCCACACACTCAATCAAACAGACTCCAACCTCTCCACAATGGCCAAGACCAGAGAGCTGTGTAAGGACATCAGGGATAAAATTGTAGACCTGCACAAGGCTGGGATGGGCTACATGACAATAGGCAAGCAGCTTGGTGAGAAGGCAACAACTGTTGGCGCAATTATTAGAAAATGGAAGAAGTTCAAGATGACGGTCAATCACCCTCGGTCTGGGGCTCCAAGCAAGATTTCACCTCGTGGGGCATCAATGATCATGAGGAAGGTGAGGGATCAGCCCAGAACTACACGGCAGGACCTGGTCAATGACCTGAAGAGAGCTGGGACCACAGTCTCAAAGAAAACCATTAGTAACACACTACGCCGTCATTGATTAAAATCCTGCAGCGCACGCAAGGTCCCCCTGCTCAAGCCAGCGCATGTCCAGGCCCGTCTGAAGTTTGCCAAAGACCATCTGGATGATCCAGAGGAGGAATGGGAGAAGGTCATGTGGTCTGATGAGACAAAAATAGAGCTTTTTGTTCTAAACTCCACTCGCCGTGTTTGGAGGAAGAAGAAGGATGAGTACAACCCCAAGAACACCATCCCAACCGTGAAGCATGGAGGTGGAAACATCATTCTTTGGGGATGCTTTTCTGCAAAAGGGACAGGACGACTGCACCGTATTGAGGGGAGGATGGATGGCGCCATGTATAGCGAGATCTTGGCCAACAACCTCCTTCCCTCAGTAAGAGCATTGAAGATGGGTCGTGGCTGGGTCTTCCAGCATTACAACGACCCGAAACACACAGCCAGGGCAACTAAGTAGTGGCTCCGTAAGAAGCATCTCAAGGTCCTTGGAGTGGCAAAATGCAAATTAATTACTTAAAAATCATACAATGTGATTTTTTGGATTTTTGTTTTAAATTCCGTCTCTCACAGTTGAAGTGTACCTATGATAAAAATTACAGACCTCTACATGCTTTGTAAGTAGGAAAACCTGCATAATCTGCAGTGTATCAAATACTTGTTCTCCCCACTGTATATGTATGTGAGAGAAAAAAAACATATGGGGGATTGGAAGTGATGAAGACAATTACATTGATGGAAGTTACAATCTATCTGCAATATTAAAGCTGATTTACCCCCCCCCCCCCCCCAAAAAAAAAAAGAAGACAAAAAAGAAAGAAAAAAACTTCCACTGAGTTGCATTATTTTCCAGTTGATCATCCATTTTATATCATGGCTATAATTTAACACATTTACCGCTATAAATATGTTCATTTGCAGGTAGAACTTTGTTCAACATCCACTGCTAGTAGCTAGCAAGTTTATAAGATAGCGACAGTAGTTTCCTTGGTAACCAAACAAACAGATTTGCTAGTTTCCATCAGTCAGTCCTATCTTACTATGATGAAAATCAAATTCAACAATGCCAATAATGTTTTCAATTCGACTTTTGCTTTCATAAGCAGCTCAAATGTAGAACATGTAATAATTAACTATAGCCATTGTATTCTACCGTGCAAATGTGCTTCTAGGGAAATAATGCACGGTCTAGAATGCCCTTCAAGCCAATCAGAAACGAGTATTCAACAATAACATGGTATAAAGGCTGTGTTCGTAAATTCAATCTGGAGTGCCAGAGTGCACTCAGAGTGCGCTCTGGTTGTTCTTAAATTCAGAGGGTTGTTAGATTGTCTGTTTGTAAATTCAGAGCGGTTCGCTCTCGGAGCGTTCAGAGCGCACACTGGACGCTCTGGCGGAGGAGTAGGGTTGAGGCGAGCCTTCTGACCTCACAACCGCAGTCAAGCACCCGAGCTAACTGGCTAACGTTGGCTAGCTTGCTAGCTACTTCCAGACACAAATGAGAGAACACCTCACTCTGACCATTTTACTCCCTCTTGCACAGCTGGTTAGGGTGTTTTCATGTTATCCAGAGCGTTGGTAACTGTAACTGTGCTGCTGGCAACAATTTAATTACGCTTTTTCAACAGGTGTTCTATGCTCTGGCACACTCAGACGACAGTGCTCTGAAATCGGAGTAGATGGCCAGAGTGAATTTACGAATGCACCCAAAGATTGATACACGGTTATACAGTAGGCTATATTCTCGATCGATTTCATTTGGTTGAGTTGTCAACTAAAGTGAATTAAATGTGAAATCAACAACAAATGTCACCATGACATTGGATTTAGGTTAAAAGTTGGATGAAAAAATAAGAAATTCCCTTATGTTGATGACTTTTTGCAAATCCAATCAGTTTTCCACGTCACATTAAAACATTTTTGTTAAAATTATGTGTAAACAACGTTAATTCAACCAGTTTTTGACCAGTGGGCCGTTTCTCTGGTGGTAGCCTAGCCTATAGGCCTTCTGGTGGTCTGGTCTCGATGGAAGGATTATGCGCAGACATACTCACTTCCCTATGACACTATCCCCGTTACCTCTCTCTGAACAAAACGTGTCAGGGGGTGATCACTGTTTCCCCTGATCGTGTCAAGGCTGGCAGTGTGTCCGTCTGGCTCAGTGGCGTAAACAGGCCCATTACAAGCTCATTGGACTTCAAAAAGGACACCTTATTAGCCGGCTGGAGGTTAACGGCTATTAGAAGCGTGTGCACTTCAACGGCACGCATAGGTGTGGCATGAGGGAACTGACCTGCCACCTTTGGGGAGGACGAGGAGGAGAGGGGGAGGGGGGTCTATTACACAGGTAGATCGCTCCTAGATCCCATGACATTTCCGGCCATGTCTTCATTTTCCTTGGATATCAAGGTGTCGTGTCTTTGAATACTCAGGTCACAGCCTTCCATGTCGTTGCAGCAAGTTCCATCCCATCTGTAGGATAATATTGTGGAGATGTCAATTGGCTCTTACAAAGTGAAATTGGCTAAAATATCTATATTTTCCAACATTGTTGTTGATGTAGCCTATAACTTTAGGTGAAACTGTAAAGATGAAAAATATCATTAATGGTTAGGCGATATATCCCTGGTGCGTAAATGTGTATTTTCTGTCTCCAACCTGGTTGGAAACTGTAACAAAGTGAATAGAAAGAAAGAGAAAGGTGTCTCTAAACGGAATACCTACAATGACTATATCTCTCCTCCTCCCTACAGTGAGCCAGGATGCTCTCCGCGGTGTGCACAAGGACACTCGGCGGCGCTGGAAGCGCATGACCTTCAGCAAAGCGCAGCTGGTCGAGCTGGAGAGGGCCTTCTCCCTCACGCACTACCCTGACGTCAAAGTGAAGTATGCGTAGGCTAATGCATGATAAGTAGGCCTAACTGGAAAGAGAGAAATAAATTGCAAACAAAGCATCCAGCCTAACTACTTGATCTACCTCTTTCTCAGGTGTGGTTCCAAAATCGTTGTGCGCGCTACTTCAAGAGCAACATGCCACAAGAAACCCAATCACCACCAGCAATTGACCGTTCAGTTCCACAGTTCCCCTGCACTCCAACCCCCAACCCCACGACCATGCCTCCCCAATACACATCTCTGCCTCCTCGCTATCCTTCCCCAGGTCTAGCCAAGGCCTCCAAGCTTTCTTCAGGCTGTGTGCCAGGGAGCCAGACTGTACCTGGCACTGCCTACCTCTCCAACCCCCGGAGACCAGGCCACGGGCTACCCACTGGTTAGTATTCAGAGCCTGTATTTAGGGTATTATAACGAAGAAGCGGTGCAGTGTAAAGCTACACAGAGTACCTGGGAGTTTTCAGAGGGACTCAGTGGCTATGGGGCTTTCGCCGGGGACGTGCAGTGGCAACCCGCTATCGTCAGGAACCGCAGTGGCGCGTCTGACCAGTACTTGCGTGCACAGAACATGCCGATGCAGTACCTGGATTCTATTATTTCTTATACCTTTTTATCTAGAACCGGCTGAAACTAGCCAGCTAGTCAGCTAACTAGCTACTTGCTAGCTACTTGCTATTAGCCACCGTTATCGGTTTTCACCATTGTCCGTGGCCTGCACTACCTACCAGCCAGCTCTAGCCTGGACAATTATCGGCCAGTCTGCACAGCGCGCTATCGACCCAGAACATATTGGATTTTCTGCCGGAAACACTGAATCACTGGACCTTTAACACCGGATCATCGCAACTAGCTAGCTGGAACTGAATGGATGTTGTTGTTGGCTAATCACCACTGTCCCAAAGCTAGCACCAGTTAGCCTTGAGCTAGCCTCGAGCCAGGCCCATCTCCCGGCTATCTACCTCTCTGTCAACCGGATGGGACCTCTAGTGTCGACACGGAGCCCCGCCGATCCATCACGACTGGTCTGCCGACGTAAAAAATATCTGAATCCTGGCTTAGGAAAGCCACCAAAAACTCTGACATTTCCATCCCCAACTACAAAATGTCCCATCTAGATAGAACTGCCAAAGGGGGTGGAGTTGCAATCATACTATCCAGGTCTGTGCCCAAACAGTTTGAGCTTCTACTTCTAAAAATCCACCTTTACAGAAATAAGTCTCTCACTGTTGCCGCTTGCTACAGACGCCCCTCAGCCCCCAACTTTGCCCTGGACACCATATGTGAATTGATTGCCCCCCATCTATCCTCAGAGTTCGTACTGCTTGGTGACCTAAACTGGGATATGCTTAACACCCCGGCCGTCCTTCAATCTAAAGTAGATGCCCTCAATCTCACACAAATTATCAAGGAACCTACCAGGTACAACACTAAATCTGTAAACATGGGCACCCTCATAGATATCATCCTGACTAATTTACCCTCTAAATACACCACCGCTGTCTTCAACCAGGATCTCAGCGATCACTGCCTCATTGCCTGCGTCCATAATTGGGTCCGCGGTCAAACGACCACCCCTCATCACTGTCAAATGCTCCCTAAAACACTTCAGTGAGCAGACCTTTCTAATTGACCTGGCCCGGGTATCCTGGATGGATATTGACCTCTTTCCGTCAGTCGAGGATGCCTGGTTGTTCTTTAAAAGTGCTTTCCTCTCCATCTTAAATAAGCATTTCCCATTCAAAAAATGAAGAACTAAGAACAGATATAGCCCCTGGTTCACCCCAGACTTGACTGCCCTTGACCAGCACAAAAACATCTGTGGCGTACTGCATTAGCATCGAACAGCCCCCGCGATATGCAACTTTTCAGGGAAGTCAGGAACAAATATACACAATCAGTTAGGAAAGCAAAGGCTAGCTTTGTCAAACAGAAATTTGCATCCTGTAGCACTAACTTCAAAACGTTTTGGGACACTGTAAGAGCACGTCCTCCCAGCTGCCCACTGCACTGAGGCTAGGAAACACTGTCACCAACGATAAATGTATGATAATCGAGAATTTCAATAATAATTTTGCTATGGCTGGCCATGCTTTCCACCTGGCTACCCCTACCCCGGCAAACAGCTCTGCACCCTCCGCTGCAACTTACCCATGCCCCCCCCGCTTCTTCTTCACCCAAATTTAGATAGCTGATGTTCTGAAAGAGCTGAAAAATCTGGACCCCTACAAATCAGCTGGGCTCTCTTTCGTATCATCTGAGATCCCCAGAGATTGGAAAGCTGCCGCGGTCATCCCCCTCTTCAAAGGGGGTGACACTCTAGATCCAAACTGTTACAGACCTATACCCATCCTGCCCTGCCTTTCGAAAGTATTTGAAAGCCAAGTTAACAAACAGATCACCGACCATTTCGAATCCCACCGTACCTTCTCCGCTATGCAATCTGGTTTCCGAGCTGGTCATGGGTGCACCTCAGCCACACTCAAGGTCCTAAACGATATTATAACCGCGATCGATAAAAGACAGTACTGTGCAGCCGTCTTCATCGACCTGGCCAAGGCTTTCCACTCTGTCAATCACCGCATTCTTATTGGCAGACTAAATAGCCTTGGTTTCTCAAATGACTGCCTCGCCTGGTTCACCAAATACTTCTCAGATAGAGTTCAATGTGTCAAATCGGAGGGCCTGTTGTCTGGACCTATGGGAGTCTCTATGGGGGTGCCACAGGGTTCAATTCTCTGGCCGACTCTTTTCTCCGTGTATATCAATGATGTCGCTCTTGCTGCTGGTGACTCTCAGATCCACCTCTATGCAGATGACACCATTTTGTATACATCTGGCCCTTCATTGGACACTGTGTTAACAAACCTCCAAACGAGCTTCAATGCCATACAATACTCCTTTTGTAGCTTCCAACTGCTCTTAAACGCTAGTAAAACTAAATGCATGCTCTTCAATCGAACGCTGCTTGCACCCGCCCGCCCGACTAGAATCACTACTCTCGGCGGGTCTGACTTAAAATATGTGGACAACTATGAATACCTACAGTGAGGGAAAAAAGCATTTGATCCCCTGCTGATTTTGTACGTTTGCCCACTGACAAAGAAATGATCAGTCTATACTTTTAATGGTAGGTTTATTTGAACAGTGAGAGAATAACAACAACAAAAATCCAGAAAAATGCATGTCAAAAATGTTATAAATTAATTTTGCATTTTAATGAGGGAAATAAGTATTTGACACCTCCGCAAAACATGACTTAGTACTTGGTGACAAAAACCCTTGTTGGCAATCACAGAGGTCAGACGTTTCTTGTAGTTGGCCACCAGGTTTGCACACATCTTAGGAGGGATTTTGTCCCACTCCTCTTTGCAGATCTTCTCCAAGTCATTAAGGTTTTGAGGCTGACGTTTGGCAACTCAAACCTTCAGCTCCCTCCACAGATTTTCTATGGGATTAAGGTCTGGAGACTGGCTAGGCCACTCCAGGACCTTAATGTGCTTCTTCTTGAGCCACTCCTTTGTTGTCTTGGCTGTGTGTTTTGGGTCATTGTCATGCTAGAATACCCATCCACGACCCATTTTCAATGCCCTGGCTGAGGGAAGGAGGTTCTCACCCAGGATTTGACGGTACATGGCCCTGTCCATCGTACCTTTGATGCGGTGAAGTTGTCCTGTCCCCTTAGCAGAAAAACACACCCATAGCATAATGTTTCAACCTCCATGTTTGACGGTGGGGATGGTGTTCTTGGGGTCATAGGCAGCATTCCTCCTCCTCCAAACAAGGTGAGTTTAGTTGATGCCAATGAGCTCAATTTTGGTCTCATCTGACCACAACACTTTCACCCAGTTCTCCTCTGAATCATTCAGATGTTCATTGGCAAACTTCAGACGGGCATGTATATGTGCTTTCTTGAGCAGGGGGACCTTGCGGGCGCTGCAGGATTTCAGTCCTTCACGGCGTAGTGTGTTACCAATTGTTTTCTTGGTGACTATGGTCCAAGCTGCCTTGAGATCATTGACAAGATCCTCCCGTGTAGTTCTGGGCTGATTCCTCACCGTTCTCATGATCATTGCAACTCCACGAGGTGAGATCTTGCATGGAGCCCCAGGCCGAGGGAGATTGACAGTTATTTTGTGTTTCTTCCATTTGCGAATAATCGCACCAACTGTTGTCACCTTCTCACCAAGCTGCTTGGCGATGGTCTTGTAGCCCATTCCAGCCTTGTGTAGGTCTACAATCTTGTCCCTGACATCCCTGGAGAGGTCTTTGGTCTTGGCCATGGTGGAGAGTTTTGAATCTGATTGATTGCTTCTGTGGACAGGTGTCTTTTATACAGGTAACAAACTGAGATTAGGAGCACTCCCTTTAAGAGTGTGCTCCTAATCTCATCTCGTTACCTGTATAAAAGACACCTGGGAGCCAGAAGTCTTTCTGATTGAGAGGGGGTCAAATACTTATTTCCCTCATTAAAATGCAAATCAATGTATAACATTTTTGACATGCGTTTTTCTGGATTTTGTTGTTGTTTTTCTGTCTCTCACTGTTCAAATAAACCTACCATTAAAATTATAGACTGATCATTTCTTTGTCAGTGGGCACATGTACAAAATCAGCAGGGGATCAAATACTTTTTCCCCTCACTGTAGGTGTCTGGTTAGACCATAAACTCTCCTTCCAGACTCACATTAAGCATCTCCAATCCACAGTTAAATCTAGAATCGGCTTCCTATTTCGCAACAAAGCCTCCTTCATTCATGCTGCCAAACATGCCCTCATAAAACTGACTATCTTACCGATCCTTGACATCGGCGATGTCATTTATTAAATAGCCTCCAACACTCTACTCAGCAAATTGGATGTAGTCTATCACAGTGCCATCCGTTTTGTCACCAAAGCCCCATATACTACCCACCATTCTGACCTGTACGCTCTCGTTGGCTGGCCCTCACTACATATTTGTCGCCAATCCCACTGGCTCCAGGTCATCTATAAATCTCTGCTAGGCAAATCCCCGCCTTATCTTAGCTCATTGGTCACCTTAGCAACACCCACCCGTAGTATGCGCTCCAGCAGGTATATCTCACTGGTCATCCCCAAAGCCAACACCTCCTTTGGCCGCCATTCCTTCCAGTTCTCTGCTGCTAATGACTGGAACGAACTGCAAAAATCTCTGAAGCTGGAGACTCTTATCTCCCTCACCTACTTTAATCATCAGTTGTTAGCCCACCCAACTACCTCATCCCCATATTGTTATTTATTTTGCTAATGTGCTCCCCAGTATCTCTATTTGCACATCATCTTCTGCACATCTATCACTCCAGTGTTAATACTAAATTGTAATTATTTTGCACTATGGCCTATTTATTGCTTTACCTCCATAACTT